TGAAGTTTATATACTCATTTAACTTACAATACAGACTTTTTTCTCATTTTGCTAGTATATTGTCTGCTTGACCTTGGAAAACTCATTTAACCTCTCTGTGTCTCAGTTTTCTTATTAGTAAAATGGGCCAATTTGAGTGGGTCATTGTGAGAATTAAAAATGAGAATATGCAGTAAAAGTTTTAGTGTGTTTGCTAGTATAAATGAGCACTCAATAAGTATGAGCTATTGTAAGCAGAAAAATGGAAAAGGAAAAGGAAAGGAGAGGCATTCTAGGTGGAAGGGATGTTATATGTCAAAGACACAGAAGCAGAGCTTAGCTGTGCCTGGTGAGTGGCAGCGATGGGTCAGGCTAGAATCCTGATGTTGCAGGGAATGACGACAGGTGATGGTTCATGGGGATTTTGTAAAGCCAAACTGAAATTCTGGGTTTTAAGTTTTGTTTAGTGCATAGTAGAGAGATTTTGTTTGTTTTTGTTTTAATTACAGTAAATGAAATGATCAAGCAAATCTTTCAGGAAGATTAACTGGAGCAATGAATAGATATCATCAAAAACAAGAGAACAGACCCAAAATGGAGCCACTGATGCTAAGCCCCATGTCATCAAACCAAGACCTAACTTAATTACAATTTCAGCTCTCCCAGAAAAGGAATCTTAAGCCAGTCAATCAGGAATTGCCTGATCAGCACTAGTTAGGTCATCTACCTGATAAAACTCTACCATCCTCTAAAGGAAGTAATCTTACAATAATCAATTTGCTTTTGCCTGGTATAACGTTTTTATTCCTGCTCCATTCTGCCTTTCAGTCTTTCATTTTGTTCAGCGCCTAGGAGCTCCTTTCTATATGTTAGATGGGTGCTGCCCAATTTATGAATTGTTGAATAAGGCCAATAAGGTCTTTAAAATTTACTCAGCTGAATTTTGTTTTTTAACAATGTGAAATTTGAAGAGTAAAGGTCAGTCTGGAAATTATTGTAAGAGTCTGGAAATAGGTTAATAGTATTTACTGGGTCACAAGACAATACAAGAAGACTTAGAGATAAGTTAGTATGTTCTTTCTCCATCTCTGAATTTAATGTACAAAGAAATCAAAGTATAAGATCAACAAATGATTTACTTAGGTCACACAGCTAATTCTATTAGATCTAGGCCTCGAACACAATTTTCTGTTCCCAGGTCCATGCTGTTTCTATAACACCAAGCCATCTCAATTCAGCAGGCACATAATCCAGATATACTATGTGCAAGGCATTCAAATGGGCGCCTCAAGTAATCAGAAGGGAAGACCTGAGTTGTAAAAGATATGATGGCTTATAGCATTATGCTTCTAATTTTTGAGTATTTGAAGGTGTCACAAGAAATTATTTCACAAATTTGGAAAGACTTAAATACTGCTAGTGACTCCATTTCTAGCAACTTAAAAATGTCCAGTTGGATTACATGTCAACCAAAAAATTTTTCAATAAAGTATACTCGATTCTGAATTACATAGGATTATTAGCTAGTGCAAAGGGCCTCTTACTGGCTTGTGGGGGAAGAAAATGAGGGCTCTCCACCTGGCCTTCTCTGACACCACACTGGCAGGGTGATAGCGGGGCAAGCGGTATCTTATACTCTGGTGAGAATGGACAGGAAGGTTCCAGACTCAGCCTTTTCAGTAAGGATAGGAGTGGCGCCACCGTTTTTTCTCTGGTGTTTTTCTGGGCTAGAGCAGTTATTGGCTAAAATTTATCCGTCTTGCTAGGCTTCCCTTTTCCTGGACCTTTGGCTAGAAAGAATGAGCTTTTCTTGGGGCTGTTTTTGTCTGTGTGTTGGTGTTTCGGGATTGCTGGTTCTCCAGAACCAAATCTGGCATATATCAAGCAGAGAAAATCCAGAGAACTCATCACTATGTCATTACTCAATTACAATATCCCTAGACTGTCTGCTGTCTTCTCTCCATCTTTTCTAGAGTCTGCCTAAATTTGCATTATATATTATGTCAAAGGATTTTAACTGTACTTAGTGGGAGGAATAGGGAAGAATATAACTATTCTAAGTTTCCAAAAGTGGAAATCTCTTTATGAGCTTTCTAAACTGACTTTTATATTGTGACGTAGGATAATTTCCCCTCAAAATATTCTTTACTTGTCTTATTTTTATTGCAAAAGATCTGATTTTATAGTTGTTCTCATAAAAGTACCACATTTTACTGTATATTTCAACCATATCATTTCAGATGCTAGAAAACCATTATTAGGTGACTAGAATATTTTATAATCTATGTCTATTACAGAGTCCAATTGAGATTAATTAAATGGTAAAGTCAAATTTTTCTGATTCCAGAACTGCCTTATTATAAAAGATAATAAATTTATCTTCAGAAGACATCAAATTGACAGTTTTAAGGAGAATATAAACTAAAAGCTGTAAATAATGGAACTAGAAAGTTTGTTTTGTCTTTATTTTCAACTGTTTAAAAAAAAGAACAGTCATTTGGGTTATTGAGGAGTAGATTATATTCAAGGACCTACTAAAAATATGTTTGTATTGTATATATAGCAATTTAACCTGGCTAATTTTTCATGAATCCCCCCTGATAATTGGTTTTATGCCATCTTGCTGGAGGTATACTATTTTCTTCAGCACTCCTGGGAATATCTGGAATATGCTTCAAGCACTCATGATAATACAACATTAAGAAATGTATCAACATACAGATTACATATTCTTATTAAAAATTAAATGTGTAGAGTGCATATAAGCATTGAGGATTCCTGGGTAACATTAGTCTGCAAAGTCAGCTCACATCACCTTCAATCACTGACATTTATTCCTTTAGGAAAAGGAGAGATTTGGTGGGCACTTGATTTTTGCAACTCTCAGCTCTACCCAAAGTATATATGTGTGCAGAGTCTCAGAGACAGTTGGCAAACCATCTTAGCTCTGCCTCTGGTGCAACAATGTTTTCCCCTCTTTGATAGATCTTATCCTAATTTTCATTACTCGAGCTGTGATTGAAGCAGCCCACTGCAACCTTCACCTTTCTAGAAGCTGGCAGTCACTCTCCAGTGGAGTCACACATACATGCTACCAAACTTTTCCAGGCCCTTGGCAGGGAAGGGCATGTATTTAACCTTATTGGATGCTGCCATTGCCTTTCTTCTGGGATGACCAAAAAAACTACTTCTTATCCCATTATATCTTTCCCAAATCGTTAGTTCTTCAAAGACCTCTTTTTCCACTCTGTGCACAATATTTTTGCATCCATTTTTATCATTGTATTCAATGGTCAAAATATCAATAATATTTTGTATTATGTATTTTATACATGAATGAACAAAAAACCTATAAAACATGTAATGGTTGGCAGATAAAAAAGTGCTTAGTAAAGTTTAGATATAATTATAATTGTTCTAACTAATATTTTATGATAATACTCAGTAGAGTTGTTTTATATTAAAGAAATAACTATAGCTTATTAACTATAAAGTAAAAGCATAATAAAATAGAGACTAAATAAAGTGGAAGGAAAAATGCATTTAAACACCAAGACTACATAGTAAATTACATTTACAGGCAACAAGATTTTAAGTGGAATGTTTCTTATTTCTAAAATCTTTTTTATAATTATCTTCTTGCTCTCATTAATAAATATTTATGCATAATTATCAAACTATGTAAGTACAAGTACTAGATCGGTTGGACTTTTATACGTCTTATTGCTCTCCATCTCCTCCACTGCTTATTGAAAGGAGATCAAACCGTGGTTCCTTGAGTTCTCCGGGGCTGTGAAGATGTACAGACTTCACCTAACACAAATGGACTTTTCCCCAAAACCAGTGACCCACTAGCATGGGAGCTGAACTGTGTGTGTTCTTTTTGCCTAAGAAGATGTGGAAATAGTGTGACACCAGCCCTCTGCTGAGGGATAAGAAGTCACCAAAAGTGAGTTAAAGAATCTTAATAAAAGGAACTGCTTACCTGGAACAAAACTGAAGTTTTGGGCTCCAGATATACTATAAAAACACCATTTTCCTTCTTTGTGATTAATGAAAGAAAGATGATATCAAAATAGAAGAACTTCACACAATAAGAAGTATCATTCATAAACACTCTAAGTCACAGTCACCTGCAAAAGAACACTGAATTGTTAAACACTGTAACACACTTGAATTACCAGGAAGTACTTTGCCCTGTGAGAACATGTAATATAACAGACAAGATGCCATAAACTTTGCCTTAAACAACGATGGACTTCTATGTTTGTCTTGCCTGTGGTCAAGACATTGAAAATGCACTTGTTTACCTTTTTTATTCAGCATGTTCATAAACATTCTGTGTCCAGTCATTTCTTGAAGTTTTAATTGAAACAAAATTATGACATAACAGTATCTAAAGAACAACCCCAAACTAGGTTGAAAGTGTGAAAAAAGAGTGTTATAATGTTAGAATTATTCTAAGTCCATAATTATACTAAGTTTTTCATTGAATTCATTTCTTCTATCATCTCTTCCTTTGTCTGCCTTCTCACAAGATTTCATACATAGCTTCATAGTTTTGAGAGACACAACACAATCGAATCTGATTTCTTCTTTAGTTAACCAATAAGAAAGTGAACTGTGTCCTGTACTATGTTAAATATTGAAGGTACAACTTATAAAAGAAGTTAAGGTGCTAGAATCCTGTGAATCTGTTTCTGTTCTGTAAATAAGTTCATTTGTATCATTTTTTAGATTCCACATATAAGTGATATCGTATGATATTTGTCTTTCTCTGTCTGACTTACTTCACTTAGTATGATAATCTCTAGGTCTATCCGTGTTGCTGTAAATGGCATTATTTCATTCTTTTTTATGGCTGAGTAATAAAACAAACTTATGGTTACCAAAGGGGAAAGGTGGGCAGGGAGGGATAAATTCGGTATTTGGGATTAACATGTACACACTACTATATATAAAACAGATAATCAACAAGGACTTACTGTATAGCACAGGAAAGTCTACTCAGTATTCTGTAATAACCTATATGGGAAAAGAATCTGAAAAAGAATAGATATATGTATTCATATAACTGAATCACTTTTCTGTACACCCGAGACTAACACAACATTGTAAATTAACTATGCTCCAATATAAAATAAAAATTAAAAGAAAAAGAAAACAGCCTTACAACAATAAATAAATAAATAAATAAAAATAATGGCTCTGTCCTAAAAAAAAGATGCTACAATCCTGATTTCTAGTAGCTTCCAAACTTACTAGGGTAAGCAAAACATACAGAAGTGTAAACACATACTAGACTTTGGGGTGCCCCGTGAATCGTGTGTTTAACTGGAGTAAATCTTTGAGTGATGTATAAACCTATGGCACAGCTCCTGGGATGCTCCTTTGTGGTGCTACACACTTGGCATCTTCATAATCCCCAAATTCACTCCATCCCTTTTCCAGGTTTGTCATCTGTGCTATCTCCCCTACCCCAGGCCCCCATCACCTTCTGCTGAAGACTAAGAAGCACAAGGAAGAACAGCAGGTGCTCCTCAAGGTCAGGACATTTGTTTGGAGAGTGGCCTATTGAAAACATGTCCTGCACCCATAGTGTGCCAGGCACTGTGTTAAGCCTGTTACTTATATATCTAATTTAACCCCTACCACCATCATATGAGATAGGGTGCTATTATTCCCTTTAATAGATGAGGGAACTGTCACTGAGAAAATTTTCATAATTTGCTTCAGATCATATGGCGTATATCTGAGATGGTCTGATAACAAGTCCATGTTTAGTGGCTTCACAGAGAGAACCCTTCTCAGAAAGTGGGGAGAAAATGGAAAGTAAGGGGCTGATAGAATATACTAGTATACTACAGGAGTGGGTATTAAGAAGATAAAGACAAATGTCTAGGGGTCTGCTTTGCAAATGTCTCAATATGCAAAAACCAGGGGTGTTTTAGGTTCCAATCTCTGATAGAAGTCATTTTATAAATAGAGGTTGTTTCCTCCAGGAAGTGGTAAGCATATCATCATAAGTGATTGAAATTTAAGTTTACAGATTGTGGGTTGCTGACCGCTGGTATCTATTAATACAAACCAGAAAACAAAACCAAGAAACCTAGCTTTCTTCTCGATAATTTTGTTTGCCTTTCCTTTCTACTTCCTTTTACCTGAAATGCTAGTTCTTTGCTATGGATTGTGCCTAGCAAATCAATATAGATCTAATCTTAGGGTTCTGGGAACATTACTTCTAATTGAAAAATAATATTGCAGACTGAAATTGGTGCCTTGAGTTTAAACTGCTATAATGGCTTGGCAATGCTTGTGATTTCTAAATCGCACTGATGTAGTATTGGTATTTGGATATTTTAGTGGCTTTGTTGACCATATGGATCTTTGCAAATGCTGGCTGCATAAACAATTTGGAGGCGGAGCACAGCTTTGGAAGTGCAGAAGGAGCTACACCTGTTTCAGTAACAGATGATCCAAGCTGCTGCTGCAGATAAAACCCATCTGGCTGGTACAAGATAGAATAAAAAATCAGGGAGGAAGGGCACTTTTCTGAGTTCAAATTTTCTGAGGGAAACATTAAGGGATAAGTTTCAGATTGAGGACTTTTAACTTTTCTGTGGGAACAGGAAACTATCTGCAGAAGGTTGTCTATTGTCACCTGTTGGAGAGCATTAGCACACTGCTGCTATATTTGGCATGATGGCATTTTCAAGTTATGATGTTACCTGAAACATACTGGAAAATCTTGTTTTGCAGCCTAATTGAATAACAGAAAATTTCAAAGTGAAATTCAGAAGGCTTTTTTGTGTTATGCTTAAGATGAACTTCAAATAAACAGTGCACTTTCCTGAACTATTTAAAACAGAAACTACTAGAGGCAAAATAAAAGGGTATAAAGTTCCCAATTCATTGACCTAAGAAAGAGTTACAGTGGCAAGGATTGGAGAAGTTGTGGACAGGGCTTCTGTGATAATCTGTGATCACCTCCCCCAAAGGGGATTCTCACACTCTTGGCTGACTATGGGATTTTCTCTTAATTCTCTGGGGTTAATAAAAGGTACACGAAAAAATCAGGGATATGGTGTTATTTAGGGGAAGTTCAAGGTTCTCATCTGCTCCCTGCTTTTACCATGCAGCCCCAACTTCATCCTTTGGGAGGAGAGTTTTAAATCTAAGCTTTTCAGGTTTAAGATATTATAATGGGCTACAGTTCAAAGGGAAGATATTTCAAAAGCACTGTAGGTCAGAGTGGTGTTTTTCTTTATTATTTTTTAACTGAGGTATAATTCACATATAACATTATATTAGTTTTAGGTGTATAGCATAATAATTTGTTAGTTGGATATACTGCAAAATGATCACCGCAATAACTCTAGTTAATATTCATCACCATACATACTTATAGAACTTTTTTTTCTTGTGTTAAGAACTTTTAAGATTTACTGTCTTAGGGACTTTCAAATATGCAACACAGTATTGTTAACTATAGTTGCCACGCTTTACATTACATCCCCATGACTTATTTATTTTATAACTGGAAGTTGGTGCTTTTTGAACCCTATCACCCATTGTGCCTACCCCTGACAACCACCAATCTGTTCTCTGTATCTGTGAGCTTGGTTTTCTGTTTATGTCTTTCTTCAAATGCTCTCTTCTCCCACATAGTTAAGGGAGATCTTTCAGAAGATACTTGAAAAAGGTCTAAGGCAGGGTACCGTCTTCATTAGAGCAAACATTTTTTCTTCATGCTCTTTATCTGGGCACATATGAGTTTGCCTTATTTAGAACTGGAGTTTGAAATTGGGTTTGGGATTTGTGGAGGGTGTAAATGGAACAGATCTTTTAGCCTGTTTTGGTTTTGTCCCATCTGGACTTGCCTAGTTTAGGAATCATCTTCATTGTCTCAGTCTAGCCAATGAGAACGTTACAGAGGATTCAAGGTAAAAGTCCATCCACTGTAAAATGGTAATTTTTCTTTTTCTGGGCATACTTTTCTTTCAGGAACCATACAGAGAGGAATAGCAAATCCTGGGTTATTTTTAGGTCTTCATTCTAATGTCATTTTAAACCCACTTTAATATACTCTACCCGGATGTCCCTGGACTGAATTGCTGGCAATTGCTACCTCCTTATAAGTTACATGGCTGAAATACTGGGTTTGTCTACCATATCTGGTCTTATCCTATTTATCTCTAATTCAGTCCAAGTCCCAGTTTGTTATAATTAATCTGACAAAATAAAATAGGGCAGATTCTCAGGGCCTTCACTTCTAGGTATCTGTAATTTTTAAATAGTCCTGATTTAAGACTTGATTTGAGGACTTTTAAGCCAAGTGGTTATTTGATGGTGTAAAGGAGACATGCTGTGATAAACCACCCATATGACTCCAATTGATCTTATGAAAATATAATTGCTGCAGTATATATGCATGTCAAATATCCATTACCTCTGACCCTTTCAACGTGGTTTGAAACTAGGGCCCCGTGAAGAACCAGACTTCATTTACTTTTAGTCTCTAAATTCGATTTGGATTCTGTAGCAGGTCTGGATTTTCTCCTCTCTGCCTATAGTAGAGTCTTTACCTCCACACATATCTACAATTACCAGGAGAGCACTCTTTTGTCCAAGGGGCAATGACAATGTAAAACTCTTTCAAGATGACTTAATGTAGCCCATAAAGGTTTTGTTATCCAACCAATATTTACAATTGCAGAAACCAATTGCTTGCTTTATGGAGAGAACATTTCATGTATACATCATATTTTTTCAGTGATTGCCAAAAAGATCAATTTGAGCTTTTGCTTGAATTAAAAATATATATTTTATAATGTCTAAAATAAATAATTACTCTATTATTCCTGAAGAAATTTTAGTATTTACAGAGGGAAAAAAATATGACATTTTTATTTCCCCTAACAATCTATATCAGTATGCTTTAAAAGTGTGCTATTTTTTTTCAGAACCATATGTACTTCTAATGAATAAAAGTGTTAACTTCTAAAAGGTAAAAATATTTTTTATGATTATTAAGGTCAGTATGATAGAATCAAAATAAATTGGATTTTAGAGTTGAAACTCAGCTCTACCACTCCCTAACTATGGGAAATTTGGCAAATCACTTTACCTCTCTGAATTTTACCTCCCTCACCTGCAAAAAAGGATTAATGCTATAAATCTTAACTTACAGAGATGCTGGAACAATTACATTGGAACACCTACTGAAATAATAATAATAAACAGTAGTTTATTCCTTTTTTTTTTTTTTTTTTTGTGGTACGCGGGCCTCTCACTGTTGTGGCCTCTCCTGCTGCGGAGCACAGGCTCCGGACGCGCAGGCTCAGCGGCCATGGCTTACGGGCCCAGCCACTCTGCGGCATGTGGGATCTTCCCGGACCGGGACATGAACCCGTGTCCCCTGCATCGGCAGGCGGACTCTCGACCACTGCACCACCAGGGAAGCCCCTATTCCTTATTTTTCATACAGTTCTATGTAATTTTATTTTATGTTTACTGTTTAATAATGTGAACACTTAATCACATCATTATGTTTAGGACCAACCAAAATCTTAAGCTGTTGGTATCAAAGATGTTATTATTTTATTTGTGTAATCTATAAATAAGAAAACTAAGGCAGTATGTGTAATTGTTAAGAACACTGACCCTGAAGCTAGATTCCCTGACTTGGATTTCAGTCACCTCTCTGCTCCAACCCCACACACAGACAAGTTATATGACTTTGGACAAGTTACTTAAGTTCTACATGCTTTGGTTCCCTTTTCTATAAAATTGGGATGATGAAAGTACCTATTTCATAAAAATGTTGTATATAAAACTTTATATAGTTACTGATATAAAGTAAGACCAGTATAAATTATAATGACTAATCTTAGAAGATTGTCTATAACCATACAGCTAATAAGTAGGGATTTTTGCCCAGGATTTCTGATTTTGAGTTATTTTTTCCCCCTGACTCCACATTGCCCTTGGAATTTCATGTAAATGTAAGTGTAGTAAGAATTTCATAGTACTGGTACATAATTACATAGAACATGCAGCAGTTCTATTTTCCTTACCAAAGTGTGTCAATGAGAAGCAAAGCAGTGCAGAGTCCAAACCAAAGGCCCCAGTCTGAGTTAAGATCATCGATTCTCATAAATTTATTGCCTCCAAAGTCACTGACATTGACTGAATGTTCAGGGCCTCTGTCTGAGTCATTTGTTAGACTGTTGCTGTGGACCCCAGATCACTGACTCCATAAATCTCCAGCTGGAATCCACTCTATCGGCATTCTAGGTCCCCAAGTGGCCCTTACCAAGTGTGAAAGCAAATGCAGTCAATAGTGAAATAAATACATTATTAATAGTGCATCTAGGGGCTTCCCTGGTGGCGCAGTGGTTGAGAATCTGCCTGCTAATGCAGGGGACACGGGTTCGAGCCCTGGTCTGGGAGGATCCCACATGCCGCGGAGCAACTAGGCCCGTGAGCCACAACTACTGAGCCTGCGCGTCTGGGGCCTGTGCTCCACAACAAGAGAAGCCGCGACAGTGAGAGGCCCACGCACCGCGATGAAGAGTGGCCCCCGCTTGCCACAACTAGAGAAAGCCCTCGCACAGAAACGAAGACCCAACACAGCAAAAATAAATAAATAA